TCAATTCAGAGTTTAACTCAAAGAGCAGTTGTTCTGAGCGGCTCAATTCTCCAGAAGATTTTCCACATTTCTGGGCTGCAGTGCGGAGGGAAATTCCCATGGCTTCCTCCACAGTTTGGCTAAGTTGTTCCAGAACAGAACCATTTTATTCTCAGGTATGCAAATCATGAGTGCTTTGTAACCATTCTATATTTAACTCTGGGCTCAGAGATCCTGCTTTTCCTCCCATGGGCTTTGGGAGAGAAGGGGCCAGCTAAGAACCTTAATCTTGTCTTTTCCTCCAGATGCAAGTTCTGCACAGGCTGAAACTACAAAGACACAAATGCCCTCTGTCAGTTTTATGGTGTCAGCCCTTGAATACACTTTTATAAAAGCTAATTTTTCGCTCAACAGTATGAACCACAGAACTCGGCAACGAAACAAGAGGCCACAATTTCACTCCGCTTTCTCCAAGGCATAATTGATCCCAGAACCTTCGGATGCCATTCTGAACTTCCTTTCTCACAAACACACACCTCTACCCATTAATTAATCACATGGCTAACATGTTCCATACATCCTCTACTTAAAGAAGAAATGGCCTTTCACCACATTTCGCGGTGTCAATATGGCACCCACTGGTTGTTATCCCAAAGGGATCTCTAAAAGGGAGACATCAGATTCATTTTTAAACCTGCTTTCCTCGCTCTCCAACACCCCATAATCAGCTCCCTCTCTATGCATAAGCTTTCACTTTACAACAGCGAGCCCAATACCGCTTGTCTGGCACAAAAGTTACGCTTCTGCATTCATCACCTATTAAAGCTCTCCCAAAGCATCCACTCAGCCCTCGGGACAGCTGCGGGGTCACGCACAGGACACATTCACTGGGTTCATCAGGATGTGTGCTCAAGATGCAAACTTAAGCAGTCAAAACAACCCGGCAGATTCAAAACAAACACGGACAGAAATTACGTTTTCCCTGCTCGAGAGATGCGGACTCCTCCTTCCCATACACCAGCTGCAGACGGACACACACGTCCCCAATAACAGCACATACTCCTAAACCAAACACAGGGGTCATGGAGAGCCTCATCCCCTTGACCAACTTCAAAACACAGAGCTGCTTTTTAATTCCCCGTCCTGGGAAAAGAATGTCTTACCGAGGCTGCAAATTAACTATTTGAAGAGCATAGATCACCGCTGGACACTTCCTGATAGTAATGCTAGGAATAACAAAGCGGTTAAATCCTAGGGTTTATTTATGTTCGGCAAGCCGGAGAGGTGGTGTGGTGATCGCCTGGTGGCATTCCAAAGCTGTGATGTCTCACTTGTAGACGCCCAACTCCAGTTCAGAAAAAGTAGTGCAAGACGACAGTAGAGGGAAAGACATCCTGCACAACTTTCTCAAACAACTGGGGTTACCTTAAAAGATGAACCAGTGGTTTCATGTAGTTTAGTATCGAAGCGAGTGCCAGTTTGAGTGTTTTTGGCTTGGAGCCAAAGGTCTTGTCCTTTCTGACCTAATGATTATTTTTGTTATTGGTACAACCTCGGGTAAAATACAGCCGAGTGCATTTGGAGCCAATCACTTGGTACAAGCGAGGCCTGGTAGATGCTGAATGTTGCCTTCATGCTCCAAGACCCTAGCCATACTGCATACCCTTGGCCCTTCATGTGGTTTCTGTCAAATTGCATCATTTGGAGCGAGGCCACAGGCAGACTCTGTCCCTCTGCCCCCACACTGCTCATTGAAAAAAGCAAATACTTGGCAGAAGTTAACAGAGCTGAAATGAGATCATTGACTTTTCTCCAGGAAAGGAGTCACAACACATCCATCAGACGAATGCCTGATAGAGCTGGCAGAGCTACACTATTCCACAAATTCTTTTTTTTTTTTTACACTTACTTTAGTGATTTGTCCTCCTTTCTTCTTGGCTTCTGCAATTGACCAGATGATGACATGTGAAGCATCCCGAATGCAGGGGAAAGGTGAGTCTGACTTTAACAAGTCTGTTAGAGCTTGGGATGAAGCAATTCTTTTAGGATAATCAGGAAGGCTTGGAAAGGGCCTCCAAAGACATATCCTATTTCACTCCTGGTCCTTGAGGTGTGTCTAACTGTAGAAAAAGTAGAGTAATTTCAAAGAGTAAACATATGCATTGAATTGATGCTAGATCTAAAGAGATAGTTCAATCAAAAATGAAAATGATGTCATCATTTAATCACCCTCATATTGTTCCAAACCCATATGACCTACTTCTGTTGAACACAAATAAGAGAAATTCTGAAGGTTGTCCAGGTTGCAATTAATCGGGATGAAAGATTTATATGTTCAAAAAGCATATAGACTTGGAATATGGAAGTTTATAATACTTTTATGGTACTTTTGAAGCGTAAAAGCTTCAGTCCCCATAATTGCGAGGAAAAGCGCCACATATATGAGAGGGAACTTGGTCAATGCTGGATTTGTGTGGATATAGAGCTTCTTTACACTGACCAGGAGATTGCACTTGTGCTTGGAAAGCTAAACAGAAACCACTTCCACTCCTTTCCAAGCACCTAATTTCAGTTTGGTTTGCACAAAGGTTCCATACTCTTTGAATATGAAAGTGACTGCGCTGGTTAAAGAGCCTGAATGTATGATTGGTAAATGGGTCTGATTTATTATCAAATTAATTTTTGAGTCCTCCACATGATCGAAGGAAGGAAGTAAGGAGAAAACGAACACTAATAATTCATTAACCCTGTTAAATTCAAGGTTTCCTGCGCTTGCAACAAAGCTGCAGCCTTAAACAAGCAAACATTTTTGGGTGAACACAGAGGCAGGTCTGTGCAAAGCCCCTGTAATCCCTCAAAGTCAGCACAGAGCTACAGTTAATGGCAGGCCACGAAGCAGGAAAGGATGCTTACACATATACATACCCAAAGAAACCAGTGTGTTCAGTCTATATGGAGAGTGTAGTGTTTGTTCCAGGATTCGAGGAAGGTGTTTATGTGTTTGATGACTTTGTGGATCATGGAGTGTTTGGGTTGTACGGCTGCTGCCAGGGGATCTTTTGTTTGGTTTATTGCTTTCATAGAGCAGACTAATGGGGCCAGTGGGACAAGATATAGTATGACTTGCTCAGTGTGACACTTCAGTGGCAGGAAGTGAGGCGGACAGTCTGAATGTGAAAACAGACTAACGGATGAGGTTTACCTAGATTCGGTGAGTGAAGCGTTAATGTCTGGGCCAGAGACAAGACGTGACTTATTTCAATGGGATGTTTTGGAATTCCAGCTACAAAAGAAAGGCTTGTAACAGTTTGAGTAGTCATGCTACCTACCGAGAGTGCCTCGCTTGTTAATTTTTGCTCTATAAATGACAAAATTGTTTGACTTCCGGGTGGGAGACGATATGGGGTTGAAAGCAGGTTTGAAACACTCCAGCTGCCCAGCCCCCCCAAAACCTCCATCCTCTGTCAAAAGCCCCCCTGCCAGCGTCCCTCAGTCTAAACACATCTGACTTGTAAATATTCTTTATTGCATCGGTAACATAAACGCTCTCAGCGACAGGCCCGTTGGACGATTTTTCCCACACTCTAAGAGTAAGGCCAACCACTCTGTTCTCTAAACAACAGCACTCCAAAGAGGATGGCGAGGTTGACGTCACCTCTTCAGGCTTGGAGGACTTCCAGCATCTCACCAAGCACACCACCGCCTAGTCAACCCAAAGAGGACATAGAGGGTGTCTGGATTTCATCCAATGTGGCGAGCGCTGCAACAAAGTTGTGAATAAGATGAGCAAAAAGATGGTAGAATAGTAATTATACTTTATATGCAAATGTAAAATAGCCAAAATGTTATTTTTGTCAGAACAAAACTGACGATCTATATTTATTCCTACATTAACATTTACTCACCCTCACGTGAGTAATCCTCAGGAACACTTTAGTCGTTTTTCTGAGCAGCTCTTTTCCATACAATCAAAACATAGTGACCAGGGATTGTCAAGGACAAAAACAAGCCACCATACACACAACTAGTGTGCTATATTTACATCTTCAGAAGTCAAATGATTGCTTTGACTGAGAAACATGTTCTTCAAAATATGTGTTCCTTACATATGTGAACAAAATTCACAACAACATATTATTCTTAATATCTCTTTAATCACACAGGTCAATATGAATTAGTGAATCAATATCACAGAAAAAAAAAAAAAATCAACTTAGGACAAAATTAGGCACTGCAAGCAGGGAGACCAAAAAAAGCACCCTTAAAAGTCAGGCGACATTTGTGTTCAGACTAAACATTTGTCAACTGTTCCATTTTATTTCAAAGAATGCTTTGTTCTCCACTCAGTGCTTATTTTACTGCTCACAGGAGCACTTGCATAGCATTTTCCTCAAACTTCTTGACCTCCCTGTAACACATGCCACTTCAAAAACAACACAGCACTCTGAGAAAGTATACATTTATAATTTGTTACCAATCATTGGATATTGAATATACAACGGGGTCCAAAAAGTCAGAGACCACTATTGAAAATGCATTTTTCCATTACAAATTATATTATCAGAATAACAATTTAAGTTAAAATCTGAACTGAAAAATCACCATGAATATGAGAAAACCTATTTGGTTTGAATATGAGAAAACCTATTTGGTTTTGTCCTCCGTTTGCTTTAATGGCAGCGGCATTCAAGCTGCATGAACTCCACAAGTTTGTTTACAACCTGATTGTCATGTTCTCCAGCATGATTTGAGAATGATCCAAAGAGGATCTTGAGCTTCAATGGAAGAGAATGAATATAAATAAAAAACTAAAAATCCAAGGTTTCAAATGTGGTCTCAGACCTTTGTACCCAATGTACCTGTATGTTCTTGGAAGCGATGTGAGCTCTTCAGATGACTCAATTCAAGTGAAGAAGTTGAGGTGCAAACATAAGGCCATTCTAATCTGTTATCTGGACACTGATATTGTTGCATATTGTGATCTTGAATGACCGATGTTGCACGGTGCACTTGATTTGGAATTTATAGTACGGTTGTGAATTTGGAGTAGCGTGACATCTGTTTGATCTATTTCAAGTCCTATTAAAGTTCTCCACTCTTACTAGAAGATGGAGATTGACCTGCTCCCCCAGATGCTTCCACCTCCTTAGAGGCACTGTTTTTCGACTGGAAATTGAGGGAGGCGGAGTTTATGCAGTAGCGTTTCTTTGTTGGTCGAGGTCCATCATCAAAGAGGTGGCCCAGGTGAGCACCACACTACAAAGAGAAAAAATTTAAATAATCAACAATGTGCTTTCATAGCGGTGTAATTTTTTTTAACATTGATCTGGTTTTGTACCTGACTGCAGGTTGTCTCCACTCGGTGCATCCCGTAGGAAAAGTCGTCCGTTAATTTTATAGTGTCCTTATTGATCAAATCAAAAAAGGACGGCCATCCTGCAAAAGTACAACATTGAGGCTTAAGTGAATCTTCATGGGATCCACAAGCCTATAAACCTTCCATTCTAGTGTGTGTTTCCATCTCGTGATGTGCAACTTTAGTGTGTTGTCCTCTTCCTGGCCTGCCTTGATGTTAAAGCTCATTCTGGGTGAAATTCTCACATTTCCCTGTATTTCAATACTTTTGCAACAATACACTATAATCAGTAAGCTTAAAGGCATAGTTCACACAAAAGTGAAAAATCTATCATCAATGAATCGCCCTAAAATTGTTCCAAACCTGTATGAATTTATTTCTTCTGTTGAGCACAAAAGAACCAGCACGTTCGCTTTTGACCCGACAGGGGAAACACGGCTATTAATTTTGTTCAGGTGTAAAGCAGTAGCAAGTTTGTTATGATTATTTTGAAAAGAACACCAGAAAATTTAGGAAAAGCTTTGTCCTTTTGTTAGGAAATAAACTTTCACTGAATGACAGCAAAATAAGTTTGGGCTTTGCCGATGCAAAATTCACCACCACGATTCTTAGGTGTCTGGTTTCTGACAAAACCAGGGATCTTCTATCTAGCCTACTGCATGGTTGGATGGCATTTTAGAAGATCAGGAAGTGAAACAAACCTCAATGAAAATGGTCAGCGTTATCGGCAGAGTTACGGCTCTCTTACAATCCTGTTTCTTTTATCTGGAAAATTTCTACCCAGTAACAGGGGTGTACATGGAAAGAATGGCTGCTCTGGCTCATGGGTGGTCCTGCTCATGGCTCTCTGGGAAGGTGGAACGTCTGGAGGAGAAGAACCTTGGGAGCTTACTACTACACAGCCTCTGCTGGCATATTTGTTTAGGTTTTTGACAAAAAACCCATACAATCTTTAAAGTACTACCTCCTGATTACTGGTAGAGGGAAACACATTAAGTTAAACACTGCAAAGCAAAATGAATGAGCAGTAAAAGACTACTGGCACTGTGGAGTATACCATATCCAATTATTTGTCAAAACATCAGAGATGAAGTGTGCAATTTCTGTAACACCAGAATTAAAATATTGACTTTTTTTTAAAGGTTTAAACACTCCAACCATACTGACATAAATGCACAATATTTAAAGAATAATTCAATTACACTACCAATCAAAAGTTTCGGGTCAGTAAGATTTTTTTTTAAAGAAATTAATACTTTTAATAAGCAAGGACACATTAAATTGATCAAAATTTCTTTTGCACTTTCTATTCATCCAAAAATCCTGAAAAACACTGCATCACAGCAGCACAACATTTCTTAACATTGATAATAATCTTACGACTCCAAACTTTTGAACAGTAGTGTACAATGCAAATAATCTGCACTGAATAGTAAATCATGAGTGTCAAAATATAATACAATTTTAAAAAGACCTAAATAAGACCTTCAAGAAGTTAATTTCAGACTTAAGGACCCGTAAATACATGGAAAGAATTGTTCGAGGGCCACTGTGGGAGATTTGGCTTGATTCATGGCTTCATTCATACCCTTTATTCTAGCTTGCAACCCCAATTATTACCAAGCACATCTTGGTAACACTATCTGTGGGTCAGGCCCACTGCTGTGATATTACGGGTGTTGAGAAACAGAAGTCAGTCGAACGTCCACCCGCTCATTCTATACTTTCCCTCCACAACCCCTCGAACACCCCTCAGTCGCACTCTATACGGACCCCCCTCTCTCTCTACTCCCTCTTAGGGAGGAGATGCTTGGCCACAACTACAAAGCCACGAAATTCCACTCAGACACAGGAAGCTCTAGAGGGAATATAGGAATCCTATGACTCAGACCAGGAGAATCCTGGCAGATCGTCGCAGAGCTGATCTAATGGAGCTTTATCGCCAGGGCGAGCAGCCCAGTGAATGGAGCAGTGTAGAGGCACTCTAACAAAACAGGAAATTGAGTCTATATGAGTCTAGGCTGCAGCGTTGCCAGCATGCAATGCAGGCCGTTTGGCTCCCATCTCCACGTCGAAGACAGAAAAGATTCAACTCGAGAGAAAATCCGATTTTTCAACGCGGGGCCCAGATGTTTCTCATTTCGGCCTGTTTTCTGTAGAGAATTTGTGCATACACGTATGCTTTGTTCGGAGAGCGAATTAAAATAGCATGTGTAATGTTGCAGAAGTATGTGATTTGGAGCTCAGATCTGTAAGGGATCAACAAACCGTTGCTGAGATATATTATAATGGCATTGTACTGTATACACTCAGCGTCAACTCAACATTCATTTAGTCAGAGCTGATGAGAGTCTTTTAAAGCTTAAAACAGAAAACATTTAATACACATCTTAAACTCATAACAGAAAGTATATGCCATAAGCACTTCCAGGAAACCACCATATGATGAAATTCATAACAACTATGCACAGCTGCATTAAAATGAAAGTGATTATTAAACACTTTATTATTATTAGCCAGGCAAAACGAACAACAGATGCATTTTTTAAAGTTTAACTGTTGAAAATGCAACGTTCATGGTGAAAGATGCGAGAAGCAATGCAAAAACAACCTTTTGTCATGTCTAGTCAAAATTGTCGTCGGCCAATGTCACATCTTTATCATTATCTTCATTTGACCTTTCTCAACAAATATTTAATGAATTAATTGTGATCATTTGTCATTTTTGTAATCCATTAACAGCATTAATAAAAAATAAATAAATAAAAACTTCTGTATACTATTTCCCTGGGAGAATTAAATTAATTCAACAGTTATTCTCTAATTGTGAAGGAAGATGGATTGAAAATGTTTGATTAAAAACTATAAAATTCTAAAATATTATGGATGACAGTGGCTGAATGTTTACAGTCAATATCATTAATCTCATAGGGAACAGATGCATTCATTAAAATATTTTGGATATTTTGTAAGATCTTTAAGTCATGGTGTTGTTTCCTGTAGGTGCTGTAACTCATATATAAAGGAGCATGTGAGGTTTCATGCCCCACAGCTACAGCCTATTAGGCAGCTGACTGGATTCAAATTCGTCCTTGCAATCAGCCATAAAAGTCAAACTCTCCCTTAGTGAGACGGACAAGAGAAGAATTAGGAGCAATAAGCCTTAAGAACCATACCTGATCCGGAGTCAAACTTCTTATCAGACCTGCAAGGACAGTAAAGCGTCAATAACAAAATAGAAAAAAATATTGCCTAGCAAATAGCCACGAAAAACCCTTTTGATTTCGAATGGCAAAACGGATTATATAAGGTGGGCATGTTAAAGATGGGTCATTATGGATCATGGGTCATATATTACACTCACGTGAAAAGCGGAGCACCGCAAACGACACAGTGGTAGGTTCCTTCCTCTTTATTATCGGCATATGTTCCCGTGAAAGCACTAAGGATGACAAAACACAAACGGTGACTTCATACCTTTACATGATCTACAATAAATGAAAATTACATTGCTCACACCTGCTTGTTTCAAAGTTAATTTCGATTTCCCATGCTCCGTGTTTTTTTGTGTAAAAGACCTGTAAATATGTTGACTGAGCGTTTCTAATCTAGATAAGTTGAGGAGGATTTGTGGATGAACAGAGCAACGGGCCTCAGAATGCATCTTTCAGGATCCTTCCTTGCTTTCCTTTCACAGGGATTTTTCACATTCCTACTGCCAATGGGCCGATAAATACTTTCCCCACGTGTGTTTTGCCACTGAGGGATGAAGGGGAAGAGGGGAAGTGTCCGTGTTTTCTCTTCTGCGCTACATCCTTCTTATACTCAACATCTATCTCATGGCCTTAGGTTGTTCAGAAGAGAAAGTGCCATACGTTTTTATCAGCCAATCATAAAGAAATCTGTACAAAGAACGTTTAGTCCATTGATGTTTTACTGCCATGATCAGCTACAACAAAGTGCTTTAAGTAGAAAAAAAGGTAAATTCGAGGGAAAGACAAATCCAATATTCCTTTTTGCAACTGTTTGGACACACCCACTTGTTCTTGAATATTTTCCACTTTTTAGAATATATTACAAGTATTTAAAGACCCCCTATGGTGAAAATCAAGATTGTTGCTGTTAATATGTCTATGTGGTGTTTTTTATATGCTTTGAGACAAACCATGTCCAAATTCACCGGTCAGCACAATTGCCGAGTATTTTCTCCTTAAAAAGTCAGTGTACCAAAGACAGTGACTCAAAAAACCATCCCCGTTTCCGACCATCACAAACAAGTAACCAATCCCGTTAAAGTACGGGGCAGGGCTTTTGCTATCATTGAGCACAAGAACACCTTTAAGAAGGGACAGAAAAAATCGGGTACATATAGCAATATATTGGGCGAATCAGTGGGTGAAATTATTGACCGCAATTCAGTCTGAAAGTGTATTTTAAGGTGATTTTTAGTTAGAGTTGGTCACCCACCTCTCTGTGCCCTTCTCCTGAGTAACATGGTACTGCATGGGGGTCAATCGCTTCCTCAGCTCCTCCTCGGGGAACGTTTTGGGCCATGTCTTCTTACTCCGGCACGTTCCTACAGGAGAGACAAGAGTGGTTAGACAGACATAAGTGTTCGTAATCACCAAAATGAAATGTCAAAGTGCTAAACCATCTGTATTATTAAAAACAAAACAACTATCACTCTAATCTAGGTTCCTATGTGACTTCTTCCAAACAGGAGTCAGCACTTATGTCTGTTCACTTTGGTTGCAACAAGTTATTTGGGTTGGCCGATAACAAAGGATGACTACTTTAATTCCTGACTTGACTCTGGAAAAATCACAATGTCAGTGACAGAAACACAATCCAAACGCTCCGTCAGTGAAGTGCTACAGCCAAAGTATTACGCCAAGGCAAATTTGATTTTCCCTGCATAACATACGCAGTGAGTTATGACATTCTAGATGAGTGCTAATGCTGGCTGTTCAAACAGAAGGCAGCGATCTCGAGCTTAACAACAATGCTGACCTCTAGAGGTCAACCTGAGGAGTGAATAAATGTCACCAGATGGACTTTCAAACTCCAGTCCAACTCACATGTCAAACTCCGCTCCTGGAGGGCCACTGTCCTGCAGAGTTTAGCTCCAACCAGCTCCAAAACACCTGCCTGGAAGTTTCTAGTAATCCTGAAGACCTTGATTAGCTGGTTCAGGTGTGTTTGATAAACTCTGCTGGACAGTGGACCTCCAGAAACTGAGTTTGACACCCCAGTGATACAACTTCCATTGAATATAAACTTTAAAACATCAGCATGGAGAGAAAAAAAAAATTCAGATATCTTGCAGCCCGAAATATCCATTCTGGCAACCGTACAGTCCTCAGAAGAAGACAAGCGCTGTAGCCATGTTTTTAAAGGGGGCCAGATGTCCATCTGCACGCCATTTATTCACCAGGACACGCAGCAGTTTTAAATTACATACAATTCTACTGCAATTTCCCATTACAGAGTGCTTTCTCCCTCCTTTCCACCTTTTTTCCAGCTAATAACGATTTTTTCACTTTTTTCGTTCCTGTGGGGTCTGTCCTGCTCCTGTATTGTTCGGCCAGTTTTACGGCTTGTGTTCTGGTGAGAGCGGGACTCCCTTCATTTAGACTATGTGGAGAATTCCTCTCGACAAGATTGAAACCATGTGAATGGAGGAAATAATGGGGTCTTTAAAGGTCCCCCTGGTGAATGGACTCCATTGATGGGCCCTGCTCTGTCCAGCGAGTACAAAGTTACTTCTGACAAACATGGGGAAGAGGGGAGGAGAGCGCAAAAAGGAGGGGGTCGCCTCCCTGCAGGACTCTCCTGTATTCCTCTCGACTCTGTGAGAGGGGTCTTCTGGATCCTATTAGTGAGACAGAGAGAGAGAATTCCTAGTTTTTTGTGTACGGAGGACTCAGAACACTATTTATACTGTGAGAGAGAGAGGGAGGGGGAAAAGGGGAAAAAAGTGTTTTATTTCTTGGTTTGTCTAGAAAAGCCTCTAAGGAGGCATTTAAAGAAATTCAGGAATTCGGTCTGTGTCACCCCCTGCAAATGATTTAGTTTTGGTGCACCGAGAGGTCACGCTACAAATCAGCACGTTGTTCCAACATCCCTCCGCTATAACCTCAAGTGAAAGTTATTTCCTAATTGGGAGCAAGATTTGTTTTTAGCACAGGCCTTTTGCTTCAAACCAAACACATCACATCTTCCCCCAGACATTCTTCGCGCTTTTTCGTAGCTATTCTCAACTCATCGCTTTCAAACTTTTTGATAGTGCTTGCAAGGCAGCGCTGTATTGATTCCTCAAACATTTTGGTAAGTTTTCTGTGTTGTTTTAAATGCTTAACTCAGGCCTGATTCAGACTGCACGCATTAGCAGTATGTAGGCAAAGCAGTAGCATAAGTGGAACAGCAGGCACGAGTTGCACTCACGCTACCAGTGTTTCTGCATAATAGCACTGAAATGTGTCTATACAGATAACGAAGAACTCTAATTGACATGAGAAGAGGCTCATTTTAAATCAAAATCCAACAAAGTAATTAAACTCTAACCTCAAAAAATACAATACAATTATATAATTTATCTTGTATATGCCAGCCTTATTATGTGTACTACTTTTTAAAGCTAAGACATTTTAAAATTATTTTTTTTAACCCTCTGGTGCACCTTGCATTGCGGTCAAAAATGACTAAATTGTTTTTCTTTCAATGAAATGAATATATTATATTTTAGTTTGATGTTTTTTGTTTAACATTTTGTATTTTATAGTGCAAAATTATATTTATGCAGTAGTCACTTTTTGAGCATAGACCTGAAAATGAAATTTCTAACTTAAACTGTCCTAAATCTTTCCTAAAAAGTTTTGTAGCACAGACTTAAGTTTGGTCTCTTTTTTAAGAAGACACTTGGCAGATTATTGATGAAGTGAAAAAATAAATAAAAAGTGAACAGTTTATTATGAAAAATGCACAGAAATACAATTTTAAATGTTTATATGAACTATATTTTCCAAAGCATGTTTTACTCCAAAGCTGCTAGAAAATCAAAGCCAGAAATCGAAACAAGTTGTGTTCCAAATTTGAGGGTATCTCGAAAAATTTGCTTTCTGCAAGATTTTGTTTGGGCGCAGTACCAAACGTTTCCACTAGATGAAATTTGTTTCCCATTTATTTCCATTTTTTGTTCATATAGCAAGTGCCAAAAGCTTTACCAAGTTTTGTACCATTTTGATGAAGTAATGAAATTCTAAAAAACCAAAACGTATCATTTTTCGATCAAAAATGACCAAAGAGCACCAGAGGGTTAACTGACACTGAGAGAATATTCATCATTCAAAATGTACCTGACAGTGATGACTTCATAATATTTGCATAATGAATCGCAACTGTTCTTCCTTAGAACTATTCAATCATATAACCGTGTGTTACTTCTCATTCAGAAAATAAGCTGCATTTCATTTAGCCTATATACTCAACCAAAGACTAAAAAAAAAACTAAACCTGTCTAAAATGTGAACATTAATTTTTTGCTACCTTGCAAGCACTGTTATTTCCATCAGGTAATGCAAATCCAGTTACATTTTCTTATTTTGACAGAAACATCCAATAATCAAAATAAAACTATGACGTTTTAACCTGCAACAATGGTTATTTTACAAAATGCAATTAGATACAACTAATGTCCTCAGAAGACACCCTGTTTCTGTTTCATCTAGATTCCTAAAATGGAAAATACAAATACAAATTCAATCATTAGTAGAAATTAAGTTAAATGTTGAAGCATGCAGGCTTAAAAGAAGGTAAAACAGTGAGTTAGGCAGTATTCCATGAGCAACTGAAGATCTAAACAGAGAAAAAGAGCAAAGCAAAAGGTGACATTTCAGGGCAAGGGGGTCATCAAATGTAGAAAAACCAACTCAAGCATCAGGGGGAATCTGATATCTGGCAGCTTACTATTTTGAAATGAAAACAGAAAAAGAACTATCTATACACTTCCATGCATTTACGCAGAGACTGTCAATGTGAAGGAAACATTAGCCACAGATAAAGCTCACCGTCACGCTGCCTTTAGATAAATCCAGAAGTTGGTTTCTCCACATGTGACCTTATCATCAACCAAACACGCACCCCTTGCCGAACGCTCTCACACGCGTGTGCAGACACATGAAAGCATCAAGGAAGCAAAGCACACTGCACACACACACACACACAGCATCCAGGTGACCTGAGGGGAGCCCGCAGGCCTTGAGTTTTACAGGTTGGCCTTGGCTGACCAGATGCAGTAGATTGAACCCGGACATGGCTGCTGCTGCCGATGCTGCTGGGAGAACAGAAACAGCGGCCTGCTAAAACACCCTCCTACCACTCAGGCTAAAAAAAAAAAAAAATCATAAAAGACAAACATAGGCAAGGAGGGAGAAGAAGGAGAGGAAGGAGAAAAAAACATAACATAGGTCAACACAGATGTCAGTTACAGAGATGGACAATTAGAGCGGCCAATAATGGGACGGCTGACACTTCTCATGCAGGGAAAGACTGATTAACGTCACTGTGTAAAGAGAGAGAGGTGAACAGGAACGATAAAGAAGTTAAAGAAGATAATATTCACAATGGAAACCTTGTAGCCTTGTGACATATTGACTTAGATATATGAGAGTTAAACATGGTATAATATTGAAAAGCTTCAATTATAATAGGGACTTTTTGATTTTGATTTTCAATAAAGGCTTTTTAATATTATACCTCACAGTGGCTTGTAAAATGACTTTGAAACAGTTTCTTGTTGCCATTTATATATATATGCAGAACCATTTTGCATAGGAAACTGATATAAAAGCTGCTAAGACCCGGCGGTTGCTATGGGCGGCTTAAGCTTATCGGCGGTTTCTATGGCTGTAGCACGTCAGTTGTGTGTCTAAGAGCCATAAAGAGAAAACTAAACCTCACAATTTAATTTACACTAATACACATCTGCAACTTCACTAATATACTTTCAACTACACAGGCTTTCGCCGTAAAACAATGCACGGCAAAACAATCTAGTCTGTTTCTCAGTTAGCCTAATTAAACTTGCCTAATAGACACATCGCACATTATAGAACCTATGGTTACAGTACCTAGCGCAGTGGGCGGAGTCAGTGTTAGGAGCGGCCCTGCGGATATACGGGAGCGCCTGCATTGGAGCAGGGCCATGGATGCGAGCGGGGCCATGCATCGGAGAAGACGGGCAGCCATCCTGGCCTACGGAAAACTCGAGCGCACGCTGTGGATAGAGCTTTGAGGAAGAGAGCGAGAAGGTTTTTAAGACCTTCTCCAAACTTCTTGTAAAAGACCTATGGAGAATGTAACTAAAACTGTTAGAGGCCAAAGATTGTGTGAAATTACAGCTGAACTACAGCAGCAATAACAGGCAAAGCCACAGAGCGCTGCTGAGCGAGAGGGTGAAGCTGCGGTTTATGAGGAATGAGGTCCATCTAGTGGTTGTGCAGGTGTGTGAGGAAAATCTTTGTATTAACTGCAACAAATAGGGAAGAGAAGAGTATAAATGACAAATTATAATTATATTATGATTGATTGATTTTTCCATTTAGAAAATATTCTTATAGTGGAGCAAAACATATTTGGAAAAATATAACACCAAACAAACTTTTCTTAGAACTAACCAATTTTTCTCTACTATACATATTTTGGTAACACTTTACAATAAGGTTCATTAGTTAACTACATTAGTTAACATTAACTAAGAATGAACAATACTTCTTCAGCATTTGTTAATCTTTGTTAATGTTAATTTCAACATTTACTAATACTTTATTAAAATCTTGTTAGTTAATGCACTGTGAACTAACATGAACAAACAATGAACAGCTGGATTTGTATTAACTAACGTTAACAAAGATTAACAAAAAAAGTAACAAATGTATTGCTGATGGTTAGTTCATGTTAGTTAATACATTAACTAATGTTTAATAAATGAACCTTATTGTAAAGTGTTACCCATATTTTTACAAAAAAAAAAATAGTGAGACTTTTACTTGAAAAGTGCATAAACGTGCTATCTGCCTTAAACATAAATGCAACTTGGTTTGATATATATATATATATATATATATTTTTTTTTTTTTACTAAATTGCTGCTCTGTAGACACTCAAATACTTTTAAGGGCCTGGTATTAAATTTCTAATTACATTTTTTTTCTTATGCAGCAATTTGTGTTAAAGAGGACACTGATCAAAATAAATAAGGCAAACATGATTATTCTTTAAATGCAATAGCATTCAGACACTTGTTGGTACTCTCAGTAACTCTTCACCCCGGGCTGGGCTGTCTGGAAGGAGTGGTTTTAACACATGCACAGATACAGACACAAGCAAGGCCACATTTTAAAAATAGCCAGCACTCACTTGCAGAGAGGACTACAAATAGAACTCGATTGCAGCTCTGCAGAATCACACCATAGGTCTGTGATTGTCTACAGCTTGATGTTTACATCCTTTGCATTCCAGAAAGTTCTGTAAACATTTTAACAACTGATCCAGTGCTTGTGTATTTTATTAATTAATTTATTTTAATATTGTATGTAAACCTGTACTGTTTAATGAACCACTACAGTTTGTAAATACACTTAAGTAAAGCCATATCTAATTTAATTAATTTGTGTAAAGCCGAACTGGAACTAGAATTGCTTCTGATCACTATCAACTGCCCTTATCAATTTAACTATACAATTAGTAGGCAAAATAAAGTGCATTTGAAGCCAGAAATATCAAGTGCTCTGAGTATCAATGCGGTTTATAAATACAGCATACTTGATACTTGGGGTAGAGTCATAACTATATATAGTAGTAGTAGTGCTACGGATGAGATCGGAAATGTTTTTAAAGCAGATCAGATTTGTATAATGAATGGCTGCTATTTAACAAAACTGGTTTTGATGGTTGAAGGGCCATTGCGAAATGATTAGTCTAAAGTGAATGCTGGCAAATGAAACTGCATTAGGAATGTATGAATATCTCAAGCATGGGGAACTTTTGGCAAATGATCTGTGCGTTTTGTTTGGCAACAGCCAAATTGACTGAGGTAATAAGCTTGTTTTGTTACCGACACAGTGAATGATATTTAGCATATTGAATAGGACATTTGCTAACTCAATGCAGAGGGAAACTATAAGCACCTGGCAATTTCATGACTCACAAACCCAAACATTCAATTCCATATATATTATTACATTAAACGTCCATCGGATGACTAATCATCCTGACAGGCTTTGGGAAGTTCATTAGATAGGTGCCAGTACTTTAGATGACAATTAAATAAACATGACATCAAATATTAATGTCTTTGAATGGACTAACAAAAAACTACCATAGTCTACTTGAAATTGGAGTGTCATGGTAATACCCTAGTGTTTACATTGTATCATAGTAGTGCCACTGTACTTTTTTTGAAAGGGTGTGGTTTACATTAAATGTTACATAATAATGCCTCGCTACACTGACATCACGTGTGGGAGGATACATAGTATACATTGTATACAAAGTGTAACTGATATGCCTCTCACAGAAGACCAAATTCCCTGTGTCTATTTACGTAAATTTTTGCCATATTAATATAGGCATACAAACTAATAAGCAGATATATCGCATATAGCCTATTCGTTCGTTCTATTTCAACTGCGTCAATTTGATAAAATGACAGTAAAGTATAACGGTGTTGTGTTACATGTTCAACGCGTAGTCATAGAAACCCTGTTGCCTGCATTGAAGTCACTTAAAAGTGCATAATACAGAATATACATATATAGTAAGTAGTTACACGTACCAGACAGCAGAAACAACGTTAAAACCGAGTAGGACAGCAGACTAGAGAGTGAAGGGGGGCCGCTGTGAGAGAAGCGCATTTGTCAAACAGCGACACGACCGTGTACTTCTTAGGTAATGACAAGTGCATTCTGGGAAATTCCTCTCGCTGGGCAGACGAGCTCCAAATATGAGCAATGCGTAATTTGCGCGCATAGTTACTCAGCCCGAATCAGTTTGTGAGCTTAGCAACTTAATTACGTCAATAGGCAGTGCCAAAACGGGTTACTGTTAATTTGATTATTCGCATAATTATCATGTTGTAATGCAAGTATTCTGCGATGCATACCATCAGATCACTCAATCCACATCCTACTTCTTCCATCAGGTCTGAGATCAGCCAACTGCAAATATTAAGTATTAGGGAAATGCGAAAAGCTCACTCTAGATCAGTGGATAACTTTATGTATTAGTTTATCAAAAGTGTATATTAAGATGTAGCGTCAAATAATTTAATCAGTGTGGAAAGTGTAAACCTATTAGTTTAGTGTAATTTATTAATCATGCTATTGTTCATTTCCATGTAGTGAACATGGTCAAAAATATCTTGGTCGCTTGGTCATACAAAAAAACGTTATTCCATTGAATGTTAAAGAATATATTTAGGCTATGGTTATTTTCACTTTTTTGTACTAGGTACTGTTGTCTACATTACATGTGTACTTAAGCTTTTTCAGTTCAAGGATCCTTGTCGATGGGTTAGAAACTGGGAATGATGCAAAAACTTAAAACAATTTAAAGTGAATATCACGTTGACAGCTGGGTGGATTTTGAACAGCCTCCACTTTTTCTAAGACTGGTAAATTAATTAAAATTGACGGTGTTGCAAAATAGGAAGTGAAATGTCCATTTTTGCATCTGAAAGAGATGAGATATGAGTTAAGAACAAGATTTTATATATAAATATTGACTAACATATATTAATAATTTTCAAAACACAGTCTGTCACTCACAAAATAATATCCATTGACTTTATGAATGATCTCTGAGATTATAAACAATGTATTGTCTAAGACTGATTCGTAATACTAATATATTCACCCATGTACCTGGAGTGGGCAATTTTAAAGAAATGTTTTCAATCATTAAAAGATTGCCTGTATCTAAAAAAAAAGTCATTACCAGGACTCTATATAAATGTAGATGAGTCATTCTGAGAAAGCACAAGTTAAAGTGTCCTCACGCAGAATATGTAATGAAATTCAACAAGGAACTGAACATTAGTAATAAACAAGTACATTTTATTTACCTCATATCAACCCGAACTGCATCTAAACAAAAGCTGATAAATCGTTCTGTGATCCAAAATAGACATGACCGCAGCATGACATGCTCTGTTTATGAATGTGTCCCGATACAAATTAGAATCAGATCACCGGTTTAGGCTGCGTCTGTAGCACAAGTGTGTTCACGAAAGTCAGAAAACAACTTCCATCAAAAAGGTCTCTTTTGGAAATTTAGAAGGGTCAGATTAAAACAGCAACAGGGTGGCATTTCAAATTTGCCAAGTGACATGTGAGGGGGTAGAATCCATCTGCACCAATTAATAATGGGAAAAGCATAACTTTTAAAATATAAACAAAAACAACAGTAAATAATTATATACTTGAATATAATCAGGCTGTGACAATTAAGACTAGTGTTCAGAAACATGGCATCAAAGGGGAACAATTGTTCATTTCTCTCGCAAAGCCATGTAGACCCTCCACATGCCACGTCTCTGAAAGCAGCAGTGTAGTTATTCTGTTGGCAAGAAACAAACGAGAGCTTATAACGATTTCAATTTCATACAGATGATTTCAACCACCACCATTCAATGAGATATTTACAGCACCCCTTTCTAGAGTGTGTGCATGCCGTTCTTGGACTAAAAACTACACAAAAAAAAGTCAAAAATAATAAAGGGAATACATCAGCTAAAACATCCTCAGGGAAATAAACATCCACAATATATGATACAATTCAAAGCTTAAATATAGGCATACTTTAACCAGCACATGCAGCTATGTATAGCCCAACACAGCTCCTTGGAATAAAGGAGGGGAGTTAGTTACATAAAAAATAAGCAGAGGCCGGAAAACTTTCATTCTTGTTGTAAGATTTAAAGTTGGAAGCCATTTTTGTCATTGAATCCATAAAGACGGTATATCAAAAACAAAGAAAATACATAAGAGAAACAGAAATTTGTGTCCACTTGCACCAGATATGGGAAGGACAGAGGATTGTGTCGTCCACCTCTCCTAAAAGTTCTCACCGGACCGAGCAACTCTCTCTGCACCGGTTTCACGCCAGTGTGTACATCTCCCTTGCTTTCCTTGATACCGAAGGACAGGGGAAAAAACACCAAAAAAAAAACACAGCAGCTCACAGGTTTAAACACCATTGCTTGCATATGGCTGACAAAACTGATTGGGCGTCCCAGGTCGCCCAACAGTAAAAGCTCCTGAACGCGGTTCTCTCTGGTAAGGAGGACGCAGGAGGAATGAGCCTCGTATATAGCGATAGAGAGAGCAGAGAGGATGGTGGTGGCCGTTAGCACGTCCCTCAAGAGAAACCCAGTGAGCTGGACGTGCTGGATCGCTGGTTCAGGCGAGACATGCTGTTCATGCTGGAGCTGGAGGGCTTGAGGGGCGTGTTGCTGCCCAGGGCTTGTGGGAAACGCTGGTGGTAGCGATCCAGACGTAGGTACTTGACCGTCACCAGCTTACCTGTAGCAAATGGATGACAGGTTGAAACGCACTGAAAACTGAAGTGGCTCGGATTAGTCTAGAATAAATACGACATTTATTTACCATCAAACCAGGAGCCATGAAGCGCTTTGAAGGCTTTCCCAGAATGCTCTGCTGAAAGGCACTTCACATAAACGCAGCCCTAGACAGGAAGATCATATAGAAAAATCAAGCCATTAGTTAAATGGTTCTAGGAATATTACTCCGTTCCAAAACACAGTGAAATTATAAGGCAGCAACATGCTCTATTAGAATCAATTGTGAGTGTTCATTTTAATTTTTCGAATTAGTTAACAATAATAACATGGATTATAAATTATTTTACCCAATATTTGTGTTCTCTTCCAAAGTTCCCTTAGTAGGCAGCAGGCAACTCATTAGCTTTTGGACAAAAGCTTATAAATTCAGGCTGTACATTTTGTAAAGACCAACATAGGCTCAGGATACTCACCTCTCTTGAGTTTTTGTCAACAGCTATGTGAACGATTCCATCGTTATCACTGCATTTCTCCAAAATGGCTTCTTGAATGGCGAGGTGCCAGTTTTCCCCCACTTCCCTGTTCAAGAGGGAAATACGAGAGTAGTGAGATTATTTTTCTAAAAAAAACCCACTATAATAACAGCCAAGCCTATATAATCTTATATCTGCTTGAACAACAAATCCAATGTGAGGTTGTGTGTTAAATTCCTTGGGAAACTTACATTACAGGATCAAACATGTTGCGAATCTTCAAGCATGGCGTTAAGCTGTTTGGTGGTGAATTTCTTCGGTCCAACGGAAATGCTAAAGAACAAAACAAGCCATGAAGTCCATGTACATACTCTATACATCCAAAAGAATGTGGACACTACACATGAATGCGTGTTGAACAATTAACATAAAAAAATCAAGTTTGTCCTACAAACAAGTCAATCAGAAGGAGGTATGCACATACTTATGGCCATGTATGAATATGAAAAACTAATATGGCACAATGGTTGGACTTAAAATGTTGATGGTTGATTGCACACAATGTAAGAGTTACCTTGGCCTTGCCACACTTTGGAGGGCATGCTGGACATCTTATCAGGTGACATTGAGGGCTGAATCCACCGCCACACCATGAAGTCCGCCCCTCCAATCCTCTGCTTTTCTGTCCGGATGCGAGACTCGTTAGCTGAGAGGAACGCAACAGCTCTGTCCCACACTTTCTTCATCTTCTTTCTGACAGAACAACACAAACATACTATTCAGGACTGTTGTCGTGAAAAGAGGGCGTTTCAGGCAAGAACGCAACCCAAATGAAAACCAAATTCGTTCAGCAACAATGGAATACCTGTCTTGAGGCTGGACAAGTGAGTCACGGACGTGAGGGATGGGCAAGTATGCCTGCAAGTCCTTATTCTCCTGAGAGGCCTCATTGTGGCTTCTCATTACATCTGTAAAAACACAAAGCACATGCATGTAAGATGCATTGTGTGTCTTCTAGTTAAAATTAAGCTTATAGTGATGAGACAGTCTTACCGATGATCCTCTCCACCATGTCATACATTTGTCTCGTTTCCTCCTCTTCTCTGCGCCATCTGTATTTCATGTAATACACCAAACCCAAAACAATACCAATGCCTAAAAAGAAAGTGTAAAAGGAGAACATTTGTGAAAATGATGCTTTTACCAAAAGAAGAACGACAAATTCTACAAACAGGGGATGCACACCTGCGAGGATGAGGAGAACTCTGTGGATCACAGTGAAGAAGGCGCGTCTGAAGCGGCAGGAGAATGACATGCGGGGGTGGATGGACTCCAGCCGCGAGATTTCCGATACGTACTCTATGGGTTGAGCAGGGTCGGCACCAATCAACCTGCCCAGAAAACGGCACACACCCAGTGAACACAGGAAAATGGTGCACACAAACACAGCGAGAGATACTAAAGATATGAAACCTACACCTTGTTAACGGATAGACAGAGAGGCCGATAGATAGATAGAGAGACAGACAGACAGACAGAGGCTGATATACAGACAGGCCAACCGGAAAATAGGCTGACCAAAAGAAAAATACTACACCGAGAGATACTAAAGGTAAGAATGTTACACCTTTTTAACATACGAGAGGCCGATAGACAGACAGACAGGCTGATAGACAGGAAGGCCTACCGACAGAGAGACAGAAACACATGGAAGGATATCAGTTACCTTATTCCGACAACATCTTTGGTTTTCATGATCCATTCTAAAGACGTTTCAATCAAGTTTTCATATGCTTCATTTTGGAGCTTGAAAGAGAAAGAGACCATGATTATATTGTGCATTTTAACATTGGCAGAGCAACAATTTCCCAAATTAT